TGGGTGGGCTTTGCATTTATTTATACAATTGGCTGTTAAGGGACTCCTCAGGTGCCCTGTTCATTTAACATCCTGAAAATAACATTCCAGGACCTTTGATTCATTAGGGATTTCATGATGTACTGGGAACAGTCCACTCCTAATCTGAATGTACTGTTTTAGACTTTCTTTTTGAGGACTAGTTTGCTTCAAAGTGGCGAAGGTAGAACAGTCAAACATCTTATTTTCCTCTCTCTCAACAGATTCAGTAATTTTTGGAGAAAGCAATACAACTGTACTATTCTTAGTGCAGTTTATGTATGTTTAGCTGAGCTCTTAYCTTCTCCAGAACATATTTTAAAGCCTCTTAAGATGCTTCTAATGTGATTCTTCCTTGAATAGATAAATTTGATTTTGTAAATTATAAAAATTATATAACTTTTAGATGTGTATAATTATTTTATATACAATATATATTGTATTTGGAGTACTGTGTTCAGTTCTGGGCACCCCAGTATAGGAAGGAYGTGGAGCTTTTGGAGAGGGTCYAGAGAAGGGCAACCAGGATGATTAAGGGAATGGAACATCTCTCGTATGAAGAGAGGCTGAGTGAGCTGGGCCTGTTTTCTCTGGAGAAGAGACGGCTCAGAGGGGATATGATTAATATGTATAAGTTCAGGAAGGGAGAATGCAGGGAGGAAGGGGACAGGCTGTTCTCACTGGTGGCCAGCGATAGGACGAGGGGTAATGGCCACAAACTGAAGCATAAGAAGTTCCGTCTCCAGGTGAGGAGCAACTTCTTTACTGTTAGGGTGACAGAGCAGTGGAACAGGCTGCCCAGGGAGGTTGTGGAGTCTCCTACTCTGGAGGTCTTCAAAACCCGCCTGGATGCCGCCCTGTGCCACATGCTCTAGGTGTGCCTGCTTGAGCAGGAAGGTTGGACTAGATGATCTGTAGAGGTCCCTTCCAACCTTAAATATTCTGTGAATCTATGAATATCCGTTCAAAGATATTTGCAACACATTTCTATATCCTTTTATAACATGAGGGTATGATCTTTTGCTACCTTTCAGACTACTGTATTTCTTCCTAACTCAAGAGCACTCTGCAGTGTCCATAGAACAGGTTTATAACTAACTGGCATACAGATATGGGATAYCCCTAAGGGATACCCCTGATGGGAGCCAAGCTCTTGTGCTGTGAGGGCTTGTGCTGCACTATTATAAAGAGAAGCACTGGGCTATCTTCAGTGCTTGGCATAAATCCTACCATTTTGTCCCATTTTCCCGTGCAGTTATCATCCATTCTGTGGTTGATATGTTATATAAAAGCAAAACTAAGCAAGTTAAAACCTTTTTTGTGCTTGATTTTGAAGGTAAGGAAGGAAATATTTTGAAGGAAATGATCTATGAATCAGATAGTTTTGCAGATTTGTAATAACCCAATAAAATGAATTGGGTTGATTATTTCAAATGTGATTTTACCTGTAATTTATTTGTAATTAGTTTATTCAGTTTGTTTTAAACAGGGAAGATTTTCTTTCMTAAAGAAACTGCCTTTAGCAATCAATGTTTATAGTAAGCCAGTGTTTCAGTTAGTCTTTGTCATGCCACAAGAAAAAACGTTAAATAAATACATTTCTGCTAAGGATAAAAAAACTTTCTTTTTTTTTTGTCTTTTCTGCTCCATAGCTTGAAACTTGATTGACCTTCTTCCTTTGCTTAAAAGGAAAACCCAAACTATCTTGTCCATGGCTTGTTCATGACTAATTTGTAGGCCTTGGAGGATTCCTGCGTGAAGGAGTGTGTGAGCGGGTGTCCTGGGACAGACTTGTCCTGTAGTAAAAGCAGGAGTGTCTCAGTGTATCAGTCTTCAATGTTCAGTCACCCACAGTGAGCAGGGGAGCTGGGAAGCAGCGCACACCAGCGTTCCTGCCAAGTGGGGAAGGACAAAGACTTGCAGCGATCAGGTGCACAAATATAAGTAGTATTGGTAAATCTTTCCCTTGCCTCCAGTATCTTTTTGAGTTATCCAACTAAGAGGGTTCTGTGATTTTTGTAGAATTTTAATGAAAGGCCACATCTTCCTTAGTCTTATGCCTGTGCGTAGCTGATGGTTCTTTTTTTTCTACCGAAGAATTTCACTTGCATACACATGAGAAAAAAAAAAAAATCTGTGTTCTTTCCCTGAAAACCAGAGTTGTCTTTCCTAGCAAGATTAACATGTTGACTAATCTTAGAGCAAACACTTTATTTTAATCTATCATTGTTTTCTCACTGTGGGTTTAGCAGAGGTCAGAAGAGATTCATTAAAGTGATTGTACATTTGTTTTTCTGAGAGCACATCAGAAGATTAATGCTTTGCCAAAGAAAATACAGAAATACAGTATTTCTTTTAATAGACTTCAGCTAAATAGAGCCTTAAAATCACATGCCGGGGTCCAGATGGGATGTTTGTAGCATAAGGTACAACTCTCATAATTTCTACTATCTGAAAACTGCTTAAATGAGCTCTATTTCAGCCATGCCATTTATTCCACACCTGAGGTGGAGTAGCTCGGCCTCTGCTCCCTTCTCTGATGTAGAGCCATTGGAGAGCTAGCTGCCAGTGTGTTTGTGCAAGTCTATTTGCTTATATAAAGATCTCATTTAAGCTTCTCCACCCAAGAAATTCATGTTGATTTTGGACAATCCTTGGACRATTTTACTCCATAAAATAAATAAATAAATCTTTCAAACCTGTGACACAGCCCTGCTCTCACATATTTTGGACTATTCTAAGTGTAACATTCATGCTAGGGAGACGTGAACTAACATGAGACATGGACAACTTTAAATTTGTCCAGAAACAAAGTAGAATATATATTTCTATGTAGGGTAACGTGACGTAGGAGTTTCACTTGACTGAAAAGGCTGAATCAGTCTGTGAGGAACAGAAAGTGTATGGATCCCCAAATGCTCCACCACTTGCTTATCTTCCATTGTGGCTTTTCCAGAAGAATAACCAATATGATTTGGTTTGGCAACATACCAGCATTTGAGAAGGAAAGAAAAAGTTGCATTAAACTGCTGAAACAATTCTCTTGGGTCAGCATTCACTGTCAGGAATTGCTTTAAATTGAAGAGAGATTACATGTGTGTGTAAAATAAATCAAATCAATAGACTTAGGAATCTGATTAACTAACCATTTTATGCACACCGCTGCTCAGCACTGTGGTTTGACCCAATGCAGTTGAACTGGTGTCCATAATTATAATCAATCATAACAAAACTGGCTCTTTGAAAAACATTTCCTGCAAACTCTTTTCTCACTAGAGGTGGACAATGCCTGAAAAATAAAGTATGGAAATGATAGCACATATTTACAAAGRAAAATTGATCTGCTCAACAGAATATGTGATAGCTTGCAAACACTCAACATGACTTGCCCTGTCACTTGTTGCTGTATCCACATGGCCATCGTATATCTAGTATTCTTTGTTTTATGAGGGTTATATATACACTGAATTAGACTTGTGATTTAGATAGCCCACTCCTGCATGACATTAAGCTGCAGTACAAATAAATAAAACGTAGGAAAGACAAGTTTTTCTAAAAATAAAAGCAAAGATTAAAAAAACATGTTTTGGCCTTAGGCCCTTATTTAGGAATACTTTGGGAAATGGAAGAAACCTTTTTATTTTTCATTACCTGTGGAAAGCCTAGTAGGCAAACTATTATTTCCTATCTCATTTTACCTTCCTTGAGTGTGTTTTAATAAGCTCTTGATCATTTAAAGGGAATTGCTGTAAGTTACACTGGAGTATGATCATCAGCACTTTTAGTAGAAATATTTTCTACTAAATAATATTTTTTTTCCAAAAAAAAAAAAAAAAGCTTTTTGTTTTGACTTCTGTAATAATTGCTTAAGATTCAGGAAATAAAAGGTCCTAGATGCTGTCTGTAAGACCAGAGCTTAGTGTTGAGCCAGTCCCATCAGATATCTGACTCTTTGAGAGATTTCGCTTATTCCAGACTAAAGCTTCACTGCAAGTCATCGTGTAAGGAGTGTTTGAGTATAAAAATGAAGCCTGAGATAATTGTGTGGATCTAAGAGACCAAATAATATTTAATACCTTTACATCTCTCAAATTCTTTTTTTCCAGCATTTCTTCTTGCAGTCTTTACCATACAGTGGTCCAGCTTAAAAAAGAGGAATGGCGTAGGCTTAGTAAAGCTTTTAGTTTAGTTAATGGAGTACTATCCTGGGAGATAAAAGAGGAACTCTTACACTGAGGAACTTTAGAGCCGTGTCACCCACCTAATGACCTAAAGATCCCCAGTTTGTGTTTCAGTCACCTGGTTTTCCTTGGAGAGAATGGTGAAGTTCTCAACACAAGTTATTTGCCCAAGTTCCTTAAGGAAATGATGGCGAAGCAGGAATGAGATTGAAGAGTAATGTGGAACCCTGAAGATCTAACCTGATCTTGCTCTCTATGTTAGTGCTTCATATTGACACATATGGTCTTAATATTTTTCCTCGCTCTATGGAACTTGTGTGTGTGTCTGTGAAAGACAAGAAATTTTGGTTATATAAAGGTCCTTAGTGCACAAGGACAGGGGTGATGGTTTGTCTTGAATGAAGGATCTCTTGTTCCTGTGTAACGTTTTTAGTCCTAATCTCACAAGGAAAAGTTGCCTCTTTTGAAGAGCCTGTATTGGTGTAAGATGATCCAATGCCTTGAGTGTGATCTTGTGTTGAATGAAAGAAAACATTGCCAGAATGGCGTGCTGTCCATCTGCTCCTGTATGTTTCCCTGCTTCCCAGTTAAACGTAAGGCGTTACGTCCTAAGCAGATGATTCATCAGTGTATGTTTACCGGTAGTGTTAACATAAAATTAAAATTATTAGATATTTATTTATTTATTTATTTATTTATTTATTCATTCATTCATTTTAGTTTTCCAAAGAGGTGAAGAAAAATGAGGTACTTGAAATTTCTAATATTAAAACCAAGGACCTTTCTTCTTTTATGTTTCAGACACAGATATTAAGGAGCTAGAGGATGTTTTTGGACTTAACGGACAAGTAGAGCATAAGCTGAACTTCCTCAAAAAGAATGTGTCAAAAAATATAAAGCTGGTACTGATTGCTCATTCTATTGGTTGCTACATCACACTGGAAATGATGAAGCGAGCATCAGAACTTCAGGTACATCAACCTTTCAGCCTGAAAGTTGCATTAATAGTGAAGCAAAGTATGTGCTTAGCCTGTGGGTAATGCCATGTCTTTCCTTTGGATGCCATACACAAAGTTTTAGTCCCTGTTTTCATTAAAGTAAAATAAGAATAAAAAAAGAATGTCTAGGTCTAATAAAATATAGAAAAGTAGTCTGGAGTAAAATTCTTATGTTGAATTTGAACTTCCAAATGCCATTGTAATTTAAAAGATTAATAATGGCTATGAATATATTTAGGACTTTCTTATTGCCTTCTCATCTTTAAATAATTTATAAACAGATCGCTAGATATTTGATAATTATGTTATTACTCAAAAAAGTTAAGACATTATGATTTTAATAACATCTTCTTACCCCATGGCAAGCAGTTTATTAACTATACATGGAGAAATATATGGAAAATAATAGTAATATAGATTGTGATGAGTAGTGGTGTGAAGGATATTGGTTTTAAAATTTAATACATATGCATATAATTTTGCTTCTGCAGATCTGTCTTGGTTTGTGTAGTGTGAAGAGAATGGGAGGTGTTATTTCATGTTCTTGTTGCATCACCATTTTTCTTTCCCTCCATGAAGCAATATGAAGGCTGAGGCTGGGCAGTGTCCCTGCAACTGTGGAAATAACAACCAAACTCTTAGTGCTTGGTAACAATTCACTGCGGTAGTGGATGCTGAATGAAGAATACCAAATTGTTGCTTTTATTTTATATTACCTCATCCTACATCACTGCCCCTTCTGTTGCATTATACAAGCTTCRGTGGAAGGAAGTACAGTGTTAATCTAAGGTCTGCATTTAATATAGCCCTGAGGAGGTTCTCCTGCTTCTTCCTAACCACGTCCGCTGCCTGTCTTAACTTTTTCTTTCCTTTAAAGGAAACAGCAACTAAAGAAGTGAAACATGAGGATAAACTAATACATTACCACAGACATTTCATTTTGAGATTATAAACAGTGGTCTTTTTGAGGGTGATTTTATTGTTGCTTTACCGTTTCAATATGGAAGATTCTAGAAAATATCATACACAGTAATTTGCGTAAAAATACCAACTTYTCTTTGGTCAGCATCCTTATAATCTTTATTGCACAAAAGGTTTTATCTGCTTTCAATTAAACTATGAATTGTTGTGTAATTTTTTTTCACATGGTCCACCGGCAGCACAATATTCATCTGCATGTTGAAATTTAGGTATCTTTGGGATGCTCTTAAATGGCATGGTGCACTGTTCACATGAAGTTACCATATGACACGCCACATTTAAGATGCATTTAACAATAGAAAATACTTGTGCAAGCCGGAGCGTTGTGCAACCTTTGTCCCTTTGCCAAAAATAAGTTAACTGTTAGGCTTTATAACATATGAAGTGTGATAATAAGAAACTTGTGTTTCCATCTCTCCCTTTATTTTTACTGGAATATTTGATTCCCACAAGATTTTGAGCACATACGTGTATTTTAGTAGCTAGATCATTTGATTTTATTTTTGTGTAGTTCTTATGTGATATTCTTTTGTTATATGAGTTTTGGTTTTGGTCTTAAATTCTCTGCTTTTAAGAGCCTCTCACTGCTTACAGTTTATTATTCTGAGCTAGAGGTTAATGTGATGTATTTATTGTTCAAATAATTCAGTAAATGTTTATATTTGGAGTTAATGTTTAGCAGATTTGATTTTTGGTACCTAGTTTAAGCCTTTTTATAATCTAACCAAATATAGACCTGATTGTCCCTCTCACGAGCAGTGATGAAGGAACCTCATAAACTAGGACTGCAGACATGGACTGGAGAAACTGCTTTGTCCTCTTCTGTCCTTAGTTGCTCCTCAGCTGTTATTTTGAGTGCTGCAAATTTCTTGGGCCCTACTGTCTTCCGCAGGATGATTATCATCTTCTATATTTTGTTTTCTTTTTCTTAAGGCTTGTTTGCTACCTTTCTGTTAAATACTGCTTTATTCCTTTATTGCAAGAGAAATGAAACCAGAATGGCCAATATACCCCTGGGATAAATTCAATTTTGGACCCTGTTCTTATTTTATTACTGACTTTCCAGGAGGCTTCTGTTAATGGTTTCCACAGGAGACCCCTTAACACAAACTTMGACTTTCTTGTTGCCACCTTTAATTAAGTCTAATCAGAGGAGAAGTGCCACATCAGATTACCTATGTACTCTTAACTAACTGGGACTATAGCTTAAGTTTTAGTACTGGCAAACAGCCAACTATACAGTTAAACCCGCAGACTAGTCCCTAAAACCCAGGGAGCTGCTCTCAGACAACACCCTGGCATAGTCCCAAATTTGGGACCCAGATCCTTGGGGACCAAGGATCATTCCCTGTGCTTCTCTTGGGTGCAAACAACCTGGTTGGAAAGGGACAGATGTTCCAAAGAGGCCACATGGATACAGGCCATCCCATGCTGTTCTGCTTTAATCTTGGGACCAGAAAACAGTCTCCCTGGCCTTTCTGTTTGCTGTTATGGATGTAACCTTGGTGAGTTTTTCTGTGGTGGGTATCAGACCTAATTATATTCACCTCTTCGTGGGAAGTGAAGCATCTCGGGTTTGTCAGAGAAGTAAAAATTTTCTCAGTGGGAGACAGAAAAATGCAAAAAAGTCCTCTTCAGCTTACTTGATACTTGTTCTTAACCTCCTAATCTTTTTCTGCTATTTATTCAGCTGGTAGAACTGAGAAATGAAGCTAGCTGACACAATGATTTTCTCAGTTTTGGACCTGATGCCTAAATCATAAACAGGCTAGATCGTCTAGTCACTGGCTTCGAAAATACGTGCACTTGCTTGGAGTCTTTCTGTGTGCATTGCTGAGGACACCACCGTGCACTTCCTAAAGTGCTCAATTTCATCATTAATTTAATGATGAAAATTTAATGAGAAGATGAGCATGTTACCTGGCTAACGAAGTCCAGTATGCTATAGCACTCACTTGTGATGGTGCTTTTGTAATGCTAGCACCTTTGTGGTCATCCCAATTAACACTTGTTAATCAACTCACCCATAGTTCTTGCAAGCCTCATAGATCAGTAAGAGTGTAAAACATATGAATTTAAGAAAATAACATTTCTATAATACATGATTCAAAACCATGCATATGCCTTGTACCTATGGCTCAGTGATACTAAAGAATACTGGATATTGATAGAACTTTGTTGATTTTAAACATAATAACTAACAATTTATGTGTTGGAATTGTTTTGTAAGGACAAATCAGCATCTTGRAAAACCCACCACATCATTTTTGTGCTTTGTTCTTTTACATCTACCATGTCTTTCTATAACCATCTTCTCTATCTCAAACAGAATTCCTGTTATCTCTGCCTTTCCTGTGAGAAATACGAGCATAACAAAATACCATAGCTTACATGTAATGATTCCAGAAGGGTATACAGTGGCATAGCCATATATTCTTTTTGTTTTTCTTTTCTCTTGTCTGTCTACAAATTGCGTTCAAGTCTTTCTCTTGAGAAGCTACAGTTTTTTTCAGGATTCAGTAACATACTTGGCTTAGAAGGATTTTCATTGTGACTTCTTCATAGTTCAGTAGACTTTCAACTAATATTTCTGATATTAGTTTAAAAAGCAGGCATATGTTTTTTAAATCTTTATTAAATTTAACTGATTCTAGTGTAGTCTTTTTGTCCTGTCATTCCAAAGCTTTTGTTGCTTGTAAGCATTGTTAATAATATGCTCTTTCACCACCTTCCTTGCTCCCCTGAATCACACCTTTGCTTTGACATATGTAGTCCTCATTTTCAGGTTTCATGCCTGAACCAAAGGACCAGGTTCCATCTGTCGTGGACAGCTTGCTTAGAAACATTAATGGCCTACAGAGACACAACAGAATGACAGATGTCCCAATCCTGTTAGCTCCTCACCCCTTCCTCACAATTACCTGCAACCTTTGCAGCACATCTCTGTGGAAGGAGACATCTCTGCACTTGATACTCCTGAAAAAGATACTGGTTGGGAATATAAGGTTTCAGTAGGTATCTGCTCCTTGCCTTTGCCCAGCCAGGACGTTTCTTCTTTTTCAATATGTGTAAGAAATTGCCTGTATAAAGATCGCTACAATTTATTTAAACAGTAAAAATGGTGGTAGAACAAAATAGTTTGCAATATGATGTACCTTTCTCTGCAGTGTAAAATGTAATAAATAATTATTCGGTTACAGAAGAAAAGAAAGAAAATGTATCACCATGTTTAAAAAAATATGTTGTCCATTGTCATCAGAGTGTGTGATGATCTTACTAGGTTGCAGTGAGATGGAAAGTGAAGTGTAAATATATTCTAGATTCACTCTAGACTAGAGTATTCAGACATGGAGATATTCTGTAGTATTTCTGTTTAGGTATTTTTTTCTCGGGTTTTCATTTATGAAGTCTCTCAGTCAATACCTATTCTGCAAATGACTAAAGCTTTKTTTTCAGTTTATTGCCAAAATTGCCAAAGAGAGTTCTTTTTATTTAAAGTTCACAGGGGACAAAAGCTTTGAGTCTTTTCATTTTTTTCTTTCTTAGAGATTAGTTCTCCTAAGAGCAGAGCTGGGCAGAGATGTTGTTTCCTGATACAGGCGAATACATGATTTGTTATCATAGCAAATCTATGCCACCTGTTAAATGAGCTCTATTCCCATGCTTTTGGATTGGTTAGAATATTAGCTTACARGGCAGAGAGGAGAGAGAGAATGTAAATGGTTCTGGAGTGGTTTAAATTCTCGCTTGGACAAGTATAAGAATCAATGCTACCCCTACCCTATGCCTCAAATGGAGCTGCAGCTTTTGTGTCTAGTTAATACCCAGATCCTTTCTGTTGAAGTACCTGGAAAACTTCCCCTAGCTTTAATGAAAATAGGGGTAGGCCAAAAGAGAGACAAATATGTCAGAATTCCTCTGCCAAATGATTTATTTTGATACAAAATTCATTCCAGTGACCCGTTTAGATTAATAATTTAGTTTCAGTTGTT